TAACAGACATTTTGTACACTTGTTAACAATCGGACAAAATGTCTGTTAAAAATATGTAAATGATCAAAATCGCAATAAAAAACAATATAAATTTGTTTATGTTTGGCGAAGATCAATATTTGTAATAATTTACTTCTATTATATTTAAATAGTTTTAATAATTTCCTTTGGTGCGCTGCAGATAGAAGAGGTTTAATATATTCAAAACCATCTAGTTCAACAATATTTACACAAATTCCAATCTGAAATGAAAACTGTTAAAGATCACAGGTGATGACGACAGTTATTTAATGTGGTAGTTTATCTATGTGGTATTCGTTTGCGTATTTGTTAGATAAATTTCACATTCACAAAATTTAGAATCTTTTATACTTCAAAGTTTATAGATTTTGTCAGAATTCTAGTATGTGTGTGGGTCTGGGTCTTGTAATGGTATGACAAAAGCGCTCCGGTTTTTTTTTTTGTCTCCGAGTATAATAAGTTTTTTCTTCATGATAAAACCAATATTTGTGAGCAATTGACTCACCTCTAAAGTTTAAATTTTATTTTTCAAACAATTCTCCGGTGTATGGGTCTTTGTTGAAATAAGAAAAAAATCCCAAAACTCTCTTGTGGGTTTTCTTTAAAATGATTTCATTGGACTCTGGAGCCGAAAATCCCCTAATAATTGTTATTTTTATATAATTTTCATTGTTCCTTTAAAAATAAATATTTATGTTGACAGTCCCTTTAAAAAAATACTTAAGTTGACAGTTCCTTTAAAAATAAATATTTAAGCTGTCAGTCCCTTTAAAAATAAATAGTTAAGTTTACGGTTCCTTTAAAAATAAATATTTAAGTTGACAGTCCCTTTAAAAATAAATATTTAAGTCAACAGTCCCTTTAAAACAATTTCTTTTATATTTTCTAATGATTATTCAATTACTAACTTATTATACTAATTCCATCTTAAAATCACTCATTAACCAACTTTGTGATATTTCAAGATGCAATACTCAGTCAAATTTGTCAAAAATTTCAACGTAAAACAGTTTAAGAATTCAACACACAAAATATTAATCTTAAGCAGAATTGGAAAATGGTTTGAGTTGTGCTTTTTTGCGTGACGAGGCTGGATTTTTAAAAATCACACTTTAAAGGCCCTAAATATACCATTTAAAAAAGTAGTTTTGCCCGGAAGAGTCAAATGTGGTGGTACGGAAGAGGATATAGTGGTGGCTCATGGCTGCCGGAAGAGAAGAAAGCTAATATGTGGCACGGAAGGGGAAATAGTGGAGGTTCATGGCCGCCTGCTTTCCCCCGCTCGCTGCTGTTGAACTTTTCATGTTAAAGCTAAATCATCAAAGTTGTCTTTTTTTTGGGGGGTTTAATGGGTTGAAGTTCAAGCAAACATACGCAATATCCACATTAAAAATAAAAAAGGACACTTTTACATTTTAACATAAATTGTGTGAGGAAGGAACTATAGGAAGCCTTTATTTTATAAGCATATTAAAAGCCGAATATTTTTATGAAAAGTTGAAGTTAATTTTTTTTAAAACAAAATTAGATATACATAGTGAAGAGGTTTACTTTATTCTGGGGGGGGGGGGTGAACATTTTTTTTCTAAAATCCCCACCCTCTAGAAAATCCATATTTACGCCCCTGGGACACTGATGTCTCTGAAGGTTGTAGCAAAGATGTAATGCAAAGAAAGTTATTTCAAAAGTGTGCGCATCTTGTGTACTGCAGTGTACTGTCTCTAAAGGTAAAGTAAACACAAGACGGATGTTACAGCCTGACATGGGATCCATCTTTCACATAAAAAAATCAATGAAATATTCTGATCATAGAAAACTATTATGTGAATTATCAAAATTATCAAATTTAATGCTTTTAACCTCCTGGGATACTAAACGAACACTGATGCATCTATTCTTGTTTACAAATTCCGCCCAAAGAGAACTGGTTTTAATATGTAGGCAGAGTATACACGACCGCAATTAACTTTCCTTGGATTACACCCTTAAAATTTTTTTTTAATCCTTTTTCGTAATATTCAGAAAAATGAAATGATTTTTCTTATGTGAGAGACAACATTATTTTATCTGTATCTCCCGCCCCCCTGGTGTAGCTGCCCTGGAGGGTGTGGCAGTTTGTTGGAGAATGGGCGGAGCACATGTTGATGAGAGAACTGGAGAACAGATTCAAACAGTTGTAAATATTTTCAGTTTAATTATTGCAGCATTAGGTAAATACACATTAATAAGCATGAATCAATAAAACTTTGATAAAAATGATTTACAACAAACTCTCCTTATAAACTATAAATTTTTAAGGTTTTTTATCACTTCAATTTAAATTTGTTTAGGAAATAATAGATCTATGAGGGAAATGCACGATATAAACATATTGTGTCACTTGGTGGGAAATTTCGGGGGAAAGCATACAGGGGTTACCCACTAAGGATGAGACTGCAAAGACAATATATACAGTTTAGATCATATTGGTTATTTTTGGTTGCTTGAGCGTTCAACTCTCAACAGTCAACATATTACTATTTAACACAATTAGTGAATATTTTACGCAACAATAGAGCACAAATTAATGACATTAAATTCTATAAAAGTTATTTAATCATTTGTTGGATAAAAGGATCTTTCTTTGAAATAAACCCGAATTTGTGAGTTTGTATGAAAAATAGCCAATGATTTTTTTATGTTTTTTTTCAAGTACTACGGAGTGACATTTTAGGCAGTGAAAGGGGCAGGAAACTAAATAATATATTAAACATAAAACGTAAAAAAATATGAGCTAATGTCGTCTTTTGTTCCATCATAAGCAAAGAAATAATTTTGCACAGATGTATGCAAATCTAAACCATTAACTCGTCAATTGATTTGTTGGGTTTTTGGTTTAAAAGTATAATGAATCATTAAATGGAATGAAACTTCCAAGCAAGAAAAAAATGCCTTTATTCATTAGAGAAGACGACATTTGTTTACAATATTTATTATACCAAACAACGTGAGTAGAATTTGCGTAGATTTTTCGATGCTGCATTTTTATATAGAGCGTCTTTGGGTTAGATTAAGTCTTATGCCTTACATATTTTATAATGACTTATCCGACGACTTGGAAAAGACATAAACAAATTTACAGTTTCAGGAAATCGCGAATATAAGGAAACAGGCAGTATAAATTTAATACAGTCGTCTGTAAAGTCTCATCATTTATGGGTAACCCTGTAGATTAAATATATGAAATCAGAAAATGTGATTTTTTGTAATCTTTTCTATTTTGTTTTGTTTAAGTTGTTACTGGCAGCATTATTTTATTAATGTGTGGTCTCCAATCACTGTTTCAAAAATGCAGCGCAAAATTGTCCAAAAATCGTACTCTAGGAAATTACCTAAGTATAAGACAATCTTCAATTTTACATAAATTAGAAAGAAATCTAATGCAAAGCTTAGAACTTGCTTCAATAGTCTCATAGTATGACACACATCTACTAGCTAACCTAGTTTTTACATGTAAACACTGTGAAATACTTTCAATCAAGTATGCGTATATTTACAACAATAAATATTATACAGTTTCAAAATAACATCTTGACAGTTAATATAAAATTCTTGGTTTAGAGAATGAATTTTTGAAATGAAAATAGCTCGTTTTTTATTGCAATCTATGGTCATTGAATTATCACTTTGCAGAACATTTCCTAAATGTTTCAAGTCGTTAACAAATGGTAAAGGTAATTCATTCAATAAAATTGGGGGTTTCCAGACATTGGATTATAACTATTAGCAATATTGTATAATGGTGATTTTAATCTATTTGAGGCTCCTGAGACAATATCAGCCTCGAAGGAACCTGAAGAAGGTGAGTTGTTACTGGTTAAGTCCGGATCAGATTGTGAACATATATTCAGGATCATACAGTGATAACCAGTAAACTCTGAAATAGGAATATGACTTTTAGACTCGAGTTTATGTCTTTAAATAGTTCAATGAACATTGGACACAGCAATTGAGCACTGTAAAAAGACACCCGTTTCACTTAATTGTTGATTTGACAAGTATCTACAGTTAGGACTTTAAATAGTCCAATGAACATGAGGCACAGAAATTGTGCATTGTAAACAGACCCTTTTTATTAAATTCGCTTCATTATTGCAACAATGTCGTCTTCCTATTCTAAAGTTTTCTGGTTTTCACTGTAGTAAAACTAATTGCTTTGTAACAAAATGAAAAACAGGTAGTGCTATGATGCCGTCTTCCCATATTTCATTGTATTCTGGATATAACGTTCATACTTTTATTCACTCCAAAACAAACTATTAATATCCATTAAATTGAAAGAGCTAACTAACTACTTGCTCGAGTTACTTTTGATTTCGAATTACTTTCCTTAAAGTTTGTATTAACGAAAGTATGAATACTTGAAAGTGCATTAGTGCATGCATTAATAAACATACTATTTTTAAAGGTTTAAAGATTTAAATCTTAAAGAATACCACTCACACTATCCCGATATTATAAACTACACCACTCACACTATCCCGATATTATAAACTACACCACTCACACTATCCCGATATTATAAACTACACCACTCACACTATCCCGATATTATAAACTACACCACTCACACTATCCCGATATTATAAACTACAATTTTTAGAGTTCTGAAAAAAGCATTGTATGACGGCATTAACTATGGGGTTTCTTGGAAACGAACATCATAGTGAACAAGAAGAAAAATGAATTACAAGATTATCCTTTTTTACAATTGTAAAAACAAAACCTTTTAGTAACTTTGAAGCATATTGGTTAACATATTAGTGTTAAATATGTGTTATAGTAAGCCAGTCAGGACTGAAACATCAATTTCCAAAGAAAAAAATTAGTACGTTGTTAACTTTTTACCGTTTTTAAGTTTAAATGCCGGCGTATTAAGAGAGATTTTGATAAATGGCGTACAGGTCTAATTTCAAATAAAATTAGTTTGATAAATGGCGTACAGGTCTAATTTCAAATAAAATTAGCTTGATAAATGGCGTACAGGTCTAATTTCAAATAAAATTAGTTTGATAAATGGCGTACAGATCTAATTTAAAATAAAATTATTTTGAAAAATGGCGTACAGATCTAATTTCAAATAAGATAATTTTGAAAAATGGCGTACAGGTCTAATTTCAAATAAACTAATTTTGATAAATGGCGTACAGGTCTAATTTCAAATAAAATTAGTTTGAAAAATGGCGTACAGGTCTAATTTCAAATAAAATTAGCTTGATAAATGGCGTACAGGTCTAATTTAAAATGAAATTAGTTTGATAAATGGCGTACAGGTTAATTTTAAATAAAATTATTTTGATAAATGGCGTACAGGTCTAATTTCAAATCAAGTTTGATTTCTTTACTGAAACTTACACACTTGAACTTAAACTATTTGGTCTTAAGTAATTTGACTAAATGTTGTTCAATGTATAACTCATCCTAAAAGAATATGTGGCTCAAATAAAATGAATTTTGGCTTAGACGCACTTAGACGCATATAAATATAATTGTTCTATAATGATGCTCACCCTTAATGTACAGGGAATTACCTAAACTGTAATGTGGCTCATCCTAAATGAATAATGTGACTCACAATGTGCATTGGGCTCACTATGCAAAACTGAAGTAACATTAAATTTATGAGAACTCATTATAATGGGGCTTTCCCTGAATGTTACGGCTTATCTTGAATGTAATACCGCCTAATCTGAATTTAATACCGCTTAATCTTAATGTAATAACACTTACATTAATGAAATACCGCCTATTCTGAATGTGATATTGCTTAATCTTAATGTAATCCAACTTATCCTGAATGTGATAATGCTTAATCTTAATTTAATACCGCTAATCTCAATGTAATACCACTTACTCTTAATGAAATACCGCCTATTCTGAATGTGATAATGCTTAATCTTAATGCAATGCAACTTAACCTGAATGTGATAATGCTTAATCTTAATTTGATCCCGCTTAATCTAATGTAATACCACTTATTCTGAATGAAATACCGCTTATTCTGAATGTGATAATGCTTAATCTTAATGTAATAGCACTTATCCTGAATGTGAAAATGCTTATTCTGATTGAAATACCGCCTATTCTGAATGTGATAATGCTTAATCTTAATGTAATGCCACTTATTCTGAATGTGATAATGCTTAATCTTAATGCAATACCGCTTATTCTGAATGTAATACCGCTTAATCTGAATGTAATACCGCTGAATCTAAATGAAATACCGCTTATTTTTAAAAAATACCACATTCTGAATGTGATAATGCTTAATCTTAATGAAATACTCGTTAATTCTGAATGTAATGCCGCTTAATCTGAATGTAATACCACTTATTCTAAATGTAATATCGCTTATTCTAAATTTAATACCACTTATTCAAAAAAAAATACCACTTATTCTAAAAAAAATACGAATTATTCCGAATGTCATCCCGCTTATCCTGAATATAATGTGAGTGTGACTCACTCTAATCTTTTTACTGATTTATCTGTTACTATAATATGTTGAAAGTTAATGTTTGATTAAAATATTTTTATCTTATTCTTAGGATTAATCAGTGTGATAAGATACAGTATCAGAATATGAAATATTTTTATCTTATTCTTAAAATGGTATCATTAATTACATACTAATTACTGACACAACGACATTTATGTTAGTAAAAGTTATGTTTTCTATAACGTAAAAATAGCCAAAACTTTGAATGAAACCTGGACATATTTTTTTGTCAGCCATATTTAATTTTTCTTCTTAAAATCTGTTAAAAATGGTTTAACATTTGTTTTATTTTAGAGTGCTTGAATAAAAAATGCGCCGTTAAAACTAAATATTTATTGTGGATAAAAGGTTTAATTTAGATTCTGACAATTTGTTTACGTTTGCTAATATTTTTAGAAACCCTAATCCTAAATCCAAATTAGATCCGTCAACGTTGTGCTGAACTCAAGTAATTTTTCATAATTCATTAATATTAAAGGGAGTGACCGGCTATGTAAGGTAGTTGAACTGAGTATGCAGTGTTGTGGAAAACTTCTTTCGGATTCATTTAGACATATTAAACTTTTTAAAAGTCTGTAAATCCTGAGTTTGAGCGCAAATTCGACGTTCAAAACTCCTGATTTGGGGGTGGATACGTTTTCAGAATTAGTTTTGTTTTTAAATTATTAAATAACGACAACGAAAAATAAAGTAAATATTATACAGTAATCTAATTAGATGGCTAGGAACATATTTCTCAAAAGAGATTTGTTAATAAATCAATGCTAAAATCTATTATTTCGTTTTCATTATTATATTGAATTTATAATTTCCTTTGAATTTATTGGCAGATTTCTTCAAATTCTTTAAATGTCGTCTTTTCAATAATAATTATAGAAAATCTGCGAACATCTTTGTGAATAACGAGAAACTAGAATAATGAGATAATAGAAACTAATAATTGAACAAGATTACTTATTTTCGATGATAAGATTAATTTTTTTTTTCTCAAAATGTTCCTAAACATGACGTCTGTAGTTTATTGTAGAATATTTTTACATTTTATGTCGTCGTTAATTAATAATTTTAAAAAAACTAATTCTGAAAGCGTATCCACCCCCAAATCAGGAGTTTTTAACGTCGAATTTGCGCTCAAACTCAGGATTTACAGATCTTTAAAAAGTGAAATATGTCTCAAATGAATCCTAAAGAAGTTTTCCACAACACTGCGTCCTCTGTTCAACTACCTTACATATCCGGTCACTCCATTTAAGTACTCTGTCAAAATATTTAGATTTTAAGTCGTTGATCTGTTCATGTGGTTCAGTAGCAGAATAGAAAATCTTCCATTCGATATTAATATAAAAATTATGTTTGGATTAGACACTAGTTAGGTGCCTTATTTTCCATTCGATATTAATATAAAATTATGTTTGGATTAGACACTAGTTAGGTGCCTTATTTTCCATTCGATATTAATATAAAATTATGTTTGGATTAGACACTAGTTAGGTGCCTCATATTCCATTAAATATTTAACAAAAAGGAAAGTTTTATTGCAATAAAATACACTGATTACATGCATTGTTAATACTTTCCTATCACATTTAAATATAAAGATTTACCAGCCGGTAATTTAAAATATTTAGCCTAAGAAATTCAGTCTTTTTCACAAACTCTGATTTTTAATCACTTTATCTTTGTAACCCAATGTCATAGAACTTAGATATTTCAAACTTTGAATTCTGTTCGATCTAATAAACAAAGTTCGAAATATCAAAGATTTACGCCAAAAATATATTGATTAGGCAATTTATGTTTGTGGCAATTATTCAATTCTTTGTTAGTTTGTGGCAATAATTATTGATCATAAAAATAGTATACGTCATTAATTTTGAAATGTACTTAAATATAGAAAAATATTATCTTTCTGATAATATTTTATTTCATTTCATCAAAACTGTTGATATAAAGAACCCCAATAGGTAAAGCCTGGTCTGCTGATCTAAGCCCTGCCTGAAAGTAAGCCCCAGTTGGAAGGGTTTGACGACTAAACACTTTATTGTCCCTTGGGACAAGAACAGAGTCAGCTGTAATTTTTATCCCGGACATATCCGTGTGCTCTGATCTTATGTGAGATGAGCCCAGGAGAACCCTGCAGATTAGAACAGCACCGTTATGACGTTTACAGAACTGGAATGCTTTATCAAATAGATCTGTTGTGTACACACCGGCTTCTCCGTGGTAGGTTCGTTTAACCAACTTCTCACTGAATCCAAACTCAAGAATCTTCTCAGCTGACTCTCTGTTGGTCCCATGGAAACTCAGTCGTTCCTCCTGATTCACAAACATCTCCTTTGCCTTATCAAACCGTTTAGCAAGAGTTGGATTCCAACAGAACACCATGCTGCTGACAATCTTATAGAGAGGATAGGGTCCCCAGTTAGACAGAGCTCCGACACTTCGTGAAACTAAGTTCTCGAAGAGCATCTGAATGTTGAAGAGTGGATTGAGATGATCTTGATTTGGTTTGGGAATCTCTATGTTCCACAAGTATCCCCAGCTGAGGATAGAACTAGGTGGAATAGATAGTGGAGGAAAGGTTGGAAGATGAGACACCTCTAACCATTGGGATCCGTTACACCAGACAATATCCTGACTCATGGATCCAGGTCGGGAGATACCAAGGAGTAAGGTTTCTCTGTGACGCTCAATGAACTGAGAACTAAAATATTTAGTTAAATTAAACTAATAATTGATCACTTTCATCGTTGAGATTATTTTTAATCACTTTCCGAATTTTGAACAATAATTCTATTGGTTTGACATATTATTGCTAAAATATGAATTTAACGATGAAAAAAATAATGAAATTTTTTACAGCGAGCTTTTGAAAAAATCTAAATAATCATATCAGTATTTAACTGGTGACGTTTTTATTTCTATCCGATGTTTCTGAAAATGTTATGTAAACTGCAACTCAACCAATTAAAAGAGTAATGATTGTCAGTCTTTGAATTTTCTTTTGATTATTGAGGCCATTGAGTGTTTTGTAATTTAAACTGTTTTTTTTATATCTTTGCAAATGTTAAGTCAATATAAAAATACAAATCAAAAGTTCATATAGTTTTCATTTATAAATACAAGAAAATTAAGCGCAGACGACATTAATTCAGCTTTATATACTTCTCACATGTTTACAGTTTAGATTTGAAATTTTTTATGTTTAGTCACTGCAATGAACGATTTCTAATTAAATCATAATTCTCTTAATTTTGATTTTTATAATCTAACATACATCGATAACATTTCAGTCTTAATTATTAAATTTTCTAGGATAATTAGAACTTGAACTCTGAGCTTGTTGAGAATAGTTTATTATGACTTCAAACTTACTGAATCATATGGTTCAAATTAAAATGATATCAATGGTTCATTCATCCTTTAACAACTTCAGTTTTTTTCGCCACGAAGAATTAAGCACAATCATGAATTACCGAAAAATATTTTTTTACAGTTTTTTTTGTTTGATTTTTTACCTTGCAAAATGTATGGACAGATTGCGAACCTCTGTAGTTTGCAAACATCTCGCCAAATATGAATTTGTCCCATTTATCTTGTCACCAACACCATGAAAAGTTAAACAGGAAAATCCTGAAAAACAAGGGTTGTGTTATAAACTTACAAAGGCTGGAAAAGGGTGAATGGGGATGTTAGACGCTTGATTGGATCTATAGTTTTTCTGTCATTTCTTTTTAACTTGAAACCTCGAACATTAATGACTTTTCAGATAAAGTAATTTTTAATGGATAAGAAAAACCGAAAATAGGGAAGCTTTTTAAACTTAAATTATTTAGTGAATTGGCCCTGTGTAGTGCGTACAATGTACACTGGACAAATGCTTTGTTTCATGTTCATTGGACATTTTAAAATCATAACATGAGCCTAACAGTCATCTTCCTATTATAAGATGGGTCCTACTGCATAAAATAGTAAAATGCTTAGTTATAGTTGTATTACTATACTGGAGAGTAGAGAATTAAAGTTTTATATTTACAAATTTGAAAAATAATAACAAATTTTACTCTTAGCCAAGCTTTTGGTTCATACTTCAGTAATCTGCAGTACAGTACAGTAGGTTTTAGTGAATATACGGGGTGTCCCACGAAACATAACAGTAGGTGAATAGTGTAAAATGTCTTCTTCCATTATTTGTTAAGTGGTTTGATACCAAACAGAAAAATAAAAAATATTATATGGCAGTCATTTTATATTAAAATTGATTTCAGCATATTTGAGTAAAATATTTTTTAAAACAAATAAACTGCAACAAGTCTTTGATATCTAATACAGTGTATGGAAGAAGACATTAAAAACTATTTACCATCTGTCATGTTCCGTGGGACACCCTGTATTAAATTCTTGACCAGAAAAGGATAACAGGTTGCCGTTGTGAATCAAACATGGCACTCAATAACTTCAAGGTACCTTGAAATTACGTCTAATGTCTTTAAAAAATGACCTTGAATCCTGTCTGGAAGACCAAGAAGAAACCGGTTCAGCTTGGAATTTATTTTCAATGGAACAAGGACATGCAGCGTGGTGTCCTCAACTCCCTCTTTTTCATCCTTCTTGTGGTTTGCAGAATTGTTTTGAGGAAGCAGAGACAATGTCATTGTAATTAAATATTTAGTATGAATAATAATGATAATAAAGCAATACTAATGTGGTTTCCCAATAGTCTGAGGTTAACAATTCAAGTTCAATAATCCTTTACCTCTTCAATCTCAGGCCTCAATCTTTTGTGTCAATGTTGCCTCAACTATGTAGGATGTATAGAGTATAGACTTGAGGTATGTATATTACAAGCTACAGGGATACCCACAAAGAATGATACATCAGAGACTGCTAATTGTGGTCTTTTTTACATTCTATGATTTCTCGTTCGGGCTAAGATTTTTTTTTAAATCAGAATTTGTTCGGCCTTTTTTCCATTCCATGGTTTCTGTGTAAACTTGTTAATTTGTTGCCAAGTTATACAATAAACTGATTTCTTAAAAGACTTGGGTGATTCTGTAGCTTTTGGTTACCCGGGTCTCTCTGAAAACTTGAAGATGCTCATTTTCAACCCTGCAATGAGTTTCGGGATGTCTGAATCAAGGTTATAATGCAAGGAAAGTCATTTCAGAGGTGTACGCATCTTTTGTACTGCAGTATTCGGGGCAAAGGAAATTATTATGTGAATTATCAAAAATATCAAAATTAAGTGCTTTTATCATCCTCGGAAACAAAACGAACACTGATGCGTCCATTCTTGTTTACAAATTCCGCCCAGAGAGAACTGGTTTCAATATGTACGCAGAGTATACGCAACTGCAATTAACTTTCCTTGCATTATAATTTTTGGTCTGCATTGTGTTTTACATATTGAAAGTTTTCATCTTTACTGTACACTCTATACTTACCGGTCAATTTGAAATATTTATGATATTAGGTAGATGGTCCTGTTTCGCAACTTCATGTGCGAATGAACATGAACTATTTATCCCTGAAGAAGTTAGTATTTGTCCCTGCATGAAGCGGTTGTCTTAGAAACAAAGAAGTGTCGGCGAACTTGTATTTTCCAGTTTTATCATGTAACCGGCTGTTGTACTGCACTGTACTGCATTTGTTATAGAATAATCAGTGTAGTTTAAGCTTTCATATTTACAGTATATACGGATATTCGTTTAATAAAGTTATTGTATCCTGTGGACCAACGTGGTATGTTCACTTTTTATATTTAAATAATGTAACATTTTGTCTAAAAAGTCTTTGTCACAGTTTTAAAGCTGAGTATATGTTATATTTTCCCTGTTCAAACTAAAGATTTTTGGATTTAACTAATAAAAAGCTTTCTGTGATTTACGATATTCTAATATTTTTATTCTTATTAGACTGAATCCTTGTCAATAAACGTAAAAGACTCAACTCGTCTTATTATGGAGAGTTCTTCAACTAGGAGGGAGGGTTCCAGTTCAAAGCTTTTCAGGAATACTACCCGGTAGACTTTTTAGCTTATTTACGAAAGAGTCGCGAAAGAGGTCCATTTTACGGAAAGAATTGAAAAAAGATGCTCGAAATTCAGGATAAACCCGGGGCTCAACTATTTTACAGATAGGATTGAGTTTTTTTGCTCCTAAGAAACTCTTTATGCGACAACTTGACTAGATATACAAACTATATATATGTAAAGAAACCTGTAAACATTAGGATATGCTCAATTGTGTTTTTTTTTTATTTCAAAAATTGAGGTATAATGTGTATGTTTAAAGATGTGAATAATCCCTTTAGGAAAAAGAAATGTAATGATTACATTTATTGTTATTAAACCTGATATATTTGTATTATCTTGATAATCTGGTTTCCCAATATCAATATTTAGGGACGTACACAAGAAATTAACTTTTTTTGACTCTCCAGGGGGGCTGTATGTTCCATACAACTCATACAATTCACAACTCCTGGGGGGGGGGGCTAAGTAGCCCTCCCCCTGTATACACCTCTGCAAATTTTTCATTATCATAAGTTTCTCTGAGTCTGCTATAAGACATAAAGAATAAATATTGTTACGGCGGAACGAAATATGAAGTAAAGGAATTGAGTCTTTGCCACAAACTCAAATTTTTCAATTCCTTAATCTTTGCTACCTGATAGTGTAGAGCTTTGATATTTCAAACTTAGAAGTTTTGATCTAACAGAATTTATAGTTTGAAATATCTAAGATTCATGGCATTGGGTTGCAAAGATAGAGAGATTAGAAAATCAGAGATTGTGGCGAAGACTCAATTCCTTTTAACGATTTGCGAAACACACCTGAAAAATTTTAAAAGACTAAGGCCCCCCCCCCCCTAAACGATAAAAGATGCTTCTAAGACATGCTCACGATTTTCGAATCAGTATAAAATAGTGGGAACAAATATTTACGTGAATATCTGCTAAGCTAAGACTAGCGTGATATATTATGAAAAAAGTACGGAAATTAACAGAAAAAAACTTATGTTGATATTCTGTGTTGTACTTTTAGCAACAACTCTTTTAAAAATAAAAATCTATTTTTATAGAAACACATTTATTTTACTTAAATATTGATGAGTATTATTGTTATGTTATCCGTAGATCCTCTGAAGAAAATACCATTGATAAAACTAAATTTAGTATCTCTATCTGCTAGTAAGAATATATATTTTCAAGAATAAGGTTTTTGTCGGATAAAGAGATAAACATGCATATAAATGCATGCATGAATAAAACTAAACCTTCTTTTTTCAGATTAATCAATGCAAAATTTGAAAAGAAATGCAAAAATCATGTAACATCTTTAAAATATAGCAAATGTTTTGCTTGAATGTTTTAAGATGTTAAAATGGTATTTCCTTGTATAAGAGTCTTGAGCAAGTGTTCTCACCGCACTTGAATCCCTAGGCAAATATTCTCATTTATTCACTGAATAGTTAGTGATTACCAAGGTTATGATGCAAGGAAAGTTATTTCAGAGGTGTACGCATCTTTTGGACTGCAGTGTACTGTCTCTGGGCGATAATGTAAACACAAGACGGATGTCACATGGGATCCATCTTTCACAAAAAAATCAATGAAATATTCGGGTCATAGGAAATTATTTTGTGAAGTATTAAAATTATCAAAATTAAATGCTATCATCCTCCTCGGATACTAAACGAACACGGATTCATCTATTTTTGTTTACAAATTCCGCCCAGAGAGAACTGGTTTCAATATGTACGCAGAGTATACGCAACTGCAATTAACTTTCCTTGCATTATAACCTTGGTGATAACTCTCATTATATGACTCTGTAACTAAGTGACTCTCCCATTGTATAGAGTTGCATTTCAGATTCACAACTAAACTCATAAAAGCTTGCATCAAAGATTTATAATTTATAAAGTGATTATTTTCAAATCTATGTACTCTCTAAATGACTTGCTTAGGTAACATTGGTGTAAGATTTCATAAGCTAGAAAAACGTAGATATTTTCCACATAAATTTAATAATAAAGTAGGGGTTTAGAGAGTTTGGTTGTGAATTGTGCATACCCTTCTCAAAATGAAGCACCACTTAAAACAACCTTTGTACTCACAGATACTTGCTAATTTACTTTGCATTAAAGAAAGCACATGAAACATAAATAAGATTTAGGGGCATTTAAAAAAGGCATGTAAAGAGTCCCTCTACTCCTTATCCATAAAATAAAGCTCTTGGATGCTAGCTATTATAGCTGGCCAAACGTCTAAATTTTGTGGAAACCCACACTGGGCACTTTAATTACAGGGTTACCCGCAAAGGATGAGACTTCAGAGATGACTGTACAAAATTTAAACTGTCTTATTACTTATATCTAGGATTCTCTGTAACTTCAAACAGGGTTCTTTCAATGCCGTGTCAATAAATAGGCAAGACAAGATTCAAGCCAAATACTTCAAATATGAAATTTTATTAGTTTCAGGTCGTCTTTACAGTCTTATCCTTTGTTGGAAACCCTGTAGTATATAATAAATTCTATGTTAAACCTGTCTGATTGTCTGAGTATGTCAATGACCTCCTCGTTACTATGAGTATCCCACAAACCATCACTTGCTAGAACTAAAATAATTCATCCTGGGATTGTAAGCATATTTTCAACTGACCCTCCATGCAAAAATCGTAATGGCCGATTCAAAACGATACCCTTTATATAAAAACTCTATCTGATAAAAAAGTAGAGGATATTGTCGTTGCAGTTCTAGCTAAATATATTTAAAAGTGAGTATTTCTCATCTTTCCTATACGTTTTCCTGCAGTAAAAATGCGCACTTTTAAGGCTACCAGTATGAATTGAGCAGTGCCATCTTTCCATAGAGGGTCACTTCAAATTACCTTACAGTCCCTTTAATTTGTTTAAAACCAAAGTTTTATTTATCATGAAATATACATGTTTGAAATTTTTTGAAGTAAAATATTTGTTTTTGATTAAACATATATCGGAATATACTCAATAATACATATTATAGCAAAAATAATTTTGTTCATGATCTTTGCACAGCGGGGCTGTATCTTAGCTACCTGTAGCTAAGATTTAGACAGCTTACACTGATATAGGATATTAGGAGATTATGGCCCATTCATACAGTACAAACATCAAATATGCAGTACGCTTTCGGAGTACAAGTGTAAGGGGGGTTTTTGTATCTTGCATTTTACTCAGCTTTCTCAGAACAGTTTATTAACGATGACATTTCTCTGTATAAGAATGTAAATTTACGTCTTATTCTGAAAATGGAATCCTGCAGACTAAGGAGTAGTGGATTTTAATAGTTAAATGGAAAACAAATTTTCCATTTAAATATTTTTAGAAATCACCCCCAAATACTTTAATATACAGATTGACCTTTGGAAGTGAATTACATAGCCTGTACAATTAGTAAAGGATTAGCGTACATCATCACGCTATATATACTATGTATAACCTTGTTGGGTCTTCCGTCAAAAATGGATATTTCTATATTCATGATAGATCTCTGTGACCATATTTGAACAGAAATCTCTAATACTGGGACTAATTATAAAGTTCAAATTGTTTACAACATAATCTTTAAGGGGGTTTATTTTGGAGACTGAAAAAGTGTTTTTATTGTTTAATGTCTGGTGTATGCACAAAGAGGACTTTATAAGGTTATAACGAGCTAGTGTGAAAAATGTTTCTGTTAAAACAAAGCAATCATCGTATTGGCTTATGAACCATCATTCAAACTTTTCAATAGTGCGTTTCCCCCCCCCCCCCCCCC